TCCCAAAGCATTTTTCCAAACTTTTCTCTGTGGAAGATCATGTTTGGCTTGATTTAACAGCTATTTCCACATATATGCTATTTCTTCCTTTAAATATTTGTTCAGCAATTAATGCATGAGTGAATAGCAGGAGGGACTTTTATCTGGGTCTCCTGCATAAGTCTCTAAGTCTGTACCTGGCTCCACAGCCTCTGTGTCTGAGTTGTTCTGTCTCTCTTCTTCAAAGGTCCACCTGGAGGAACTGCACCGCCTGTGGGACCTGCTGCTGGAGCTGACCCAGGAGAAGGGCACCCTGCTGTTGCGGGCCTTGAAACTCCAGCAGTACTTGCAGGAGTGTGCTGATATCTTGGAGTGGATTGGAGACAAGGTATAGGACTAAATAGCATGCATGTAGGACCTCCCACCCCTTTGCCCCATAGCAACTTACTGCAGACTACTTACAAAAATGTCAGGGGATTTGGTCCTAGCCTTCATTCCTTGGAGGAAGGGGAAATTTTTGCAAAGATTTAGTGCTATGTTGGAGGTTAACATTGTAGGGGTAAGTCCAAGTGCATGGATCTGAATATAGGTAAGGCAAGACTTACACAAAGACCACGTTGGAGGAAGATCTACGTTCATCCTCTTCTACCTCCAAAATTTCTAATTCCTTCTCCTAGGTTTTTGCTCTTTCTCTGAGGGCTGGCTGATAGGATTGCCAGTTCTTTCTCTAATCCCTTGTCTCACAGTGCCTATAATAGTAGAGGGGTTTTTTTTCTATATACTTAAAGCATACTCCTATAGTTAGGACTGAAGATTTATCTAAGCAAGTGCCTGATGTAATGCTTTTGTAGATACTCAGTATGCTGAATTTAGNCCAGAACTGAAGATCACCACCATTTCATTAAAGATTTACCACACTGTAACATATTATTAATTTAATAGCTATTTTATGACTTTATGTCCTCTTCCAAATGTTTGTGTTGATATAGTCAATTCAGAATTTATTTTTGTGTGAGTGGACTTTTCACTTTTATGTATTTTAAAAATTGTCAAAACAAATTTGCATTGCATACTTTTAAATTGGGGCTCTTCTTTCTTAACGTAGCATAAAAATTCTAGCCCATTTTACTGCCAACAAAATATAGTGAATGCAGATTTTAAGCAGAATAGAATCCTATTACAGAAAAGGAACCCATAACAAGAAAGTCTCAAAACTTATTAATTTGTATAAAATAGAAATACTTTTTTGTTATTCACAGTTGTATGTGTAACGAATCCCTGACATTTACTAAAAATTCTTGAGAAGTGTTTGAAACACCTTTGCATCTATCAGAATCAGTGGACAGTACCACTGCAGGGTTCAGAGAGAAATGTGGTCCGCATGTTACCTTGAG